GCCACAAAGATTAGTAATGACATTTGAAATAGCCAAAGTTGTGCAAACCCTTTTTCTAGACGCTTTCATATCCTTCCTAAGCAACAATTATGCAAAACTCTTCATCATTCTAATTTGTATTCAAATATCAAGAAGAAAAACACAAATTTAGGTCCACTTTCGTCGAACTAAGTATACATGGAAAAAAGGTAATGGAAAGGGCATAACTACCCTAAAACAGCAGAAACTTTCTTAAACTCAAATTGCTCTTACACCATAGTTGAAATGGGCCTTTCTTCCTTCCATCAAAGGGCTCAAACACCACCCTTGAAATGGCTCCATCCTTTAAGCCTCCCTTGATACACTTACTCTTCCAAAACAAGAAATAAATCCAAATCAACATATTCAAATTCCTCTTGCAAACATGCATAAGTACATTAGAATACGTACTAACATGTCGATCAAATAAAAAAATGCGATAAACAATGATCATCAAGAACATAGAACTAAACATAAAATAAAACCAACTATGCAATTAAAGAACAATTAATCAATATTGCAATTCACAAAAAATACATACCTTTAAGAATTTTAGGAGAAAAAGTAGCAATTTTCTATTTCCTAATTAATCTTAAGTTAGCTAATCATTCAATGCTTAAACTAAAACTTCTATATTCAGACATGAATACGCTTTAGTTTTGGTTATTGAAAAATATAAACTAAAATCCTAGACTTAAAATGATAGGGAAAAAAAGATAATATGAAACCGATGATAATTATTAGTGAAAAGAATTGAAAACTCGAATTTAAATTAAGTTAATAGATGAGGAGAATGAAAGGAAAAGAATAAAAAACTTGAGTTTAACTGGAGTAAAGAGCTTAGGATAATGAGAGATGAATTTGGGAGGAAGAGTAGAATTTTATAGATAATTTCTAAATTTTAAAATAAAAATTACTCACAAAATCACAAAAAATCAAAGTCAAAGGCTACCAAAAAAATTTCAGTCCCAATGTAGTCTTTTTTCAATTTTTGGGACTTACATTTGAGACTTTAAATGACAACAAAATTTAATAAGCAAATATTGATTGATGAGCAAAATTGATGAGTCATATGAGATCTAGAGCTTGAAGGTCCCGTAACGCATGGTATGGTACGAGGAACAAAACATTTTTAGTGGGAACAATAACCCTGAAGTTTGTAAGTTGAGGGTTCATGGGTGTGTTTTCTAATCTTCGGCAAAACCTGCTTTAGCCCCTCACCTTATCAAGTTTAAAGGTTTTAACTCTTTATCTTATATTATTACACTTTTAATCCCTCACCTTACTAGATTTATAAGTTTTAATTTATCACCTTATATTATAACACTTTTAGTCCCTCACCTATTAAAATTAAAGAAAGTAGCCCTTACTTTATAATATTTTATTAGTTTTGTTAGCTGACTGTTAATTTTATTAATTGACTGTTAATTAATTATCAATTGATAAAAACTTTCTTTTAACAAAGAAAATTAACAGAATTAATTTTATAATATTTTATTTATTCTATTAATTGACTATTAGTTAACTGTTAGCTGACAAAAATTTACTTTTAGCTAACATAATTAACAATGAGTATAAAATGAGAGTTATTTTTTTCGATTTTAATAAGGGAGCTAAAACTTATAAATTTAGTAAAGTGAGGGGTTAAAAATGTTATAGTATAAGGTAAGGGGCTAAAACCTTTAAACTTGGTAAGGTGAGGGGCTCAAAGTAGGTTTTTGCCTCTATCTTCAACCAAAACCTCCTCCTAAAACCCTCTCGTTCTGTGGCCGCTGGCCAGATCGCATTCTGCGCTCCGTCTCTCTGTTGGATAAGCACCATGAAGCTCTTCCTGGTCGAAGCTCGTCGTCTCTCCCTCCCCAAACACTCCTCTCTGTTCCTACCTCTATACAGATCCCTCTCCTCTTCCCCTCTTCAACCAGAAACCACCCAAAATCCTCCCCAATCGGAGGATTCCAAATCTCCTCTGCCAAGACGACCGCAACTCATTCCCATCCAGCCGGTTTCTTACTCCCCAAGGCCCAAACATGAAACCCAACAGCAAGGAGCACCCCCCTCCCACGCAAGCCCACAGCAACAAGCACCACCAATTGAAACACCCAATCAACCAGTGACTCAAGAGGCTCGCTCAAGCTGGACCTTGGAGGACCTCCGGTATGTCAAAAATGTTCCCAGCGTCATGCCTGTGTCTTACCCTACTCGGATTGCCCCGCTTCCGGAGGACCGTGCGCCTCGGGAAGAACGGAAGGAAATGAATGATCTCCGTAAAGAGGAGAGTGGGGATATGGAGAGGGAAAGGCAAAGAATTGAGATGGAGAATCGAGAGATGAGGAGGGCTTTCCGGATTGCAGTAGATGGAGAGAAGGGCATGGTTCCTTTTCCAATGTTGATTAAGCCTGAGAAGAAGAACGAGAAGCGGCCTGTTCTGGATTTGATGGACGCCATTAGGCAAGTCAAGGTCAGTGTATAAGCTTCTCTTTTCTAAGAATTCAACTCTATTAATGGGTGTTTGACTGTACATACATAAATAAAGCAAAAATGAGTGTAGAATTAGTAAATAGGAGAATGTTTTTAACCTGACTTTGATGAATCTGTTAGAATTATTCAAACGTCTTAGATTGCAGTTGGTTGGCAAGAAGTCATGTGGGAAGGCTGTGATGCAAAAATGATATAATTGAGTGCAAGAAATCAAAACCAGCAATTGCCATTAGCATGTATGATATGCGGTATATATGGTCAGGATAGCCATCAGCAAAGTACCTGGATAATAAGTTACAGAATTGCAGTAAATTTTGATAGGCGGAGCAGCCAATTGGTTTCTGTTAGGTTGGAGAAATGCTGCTTTTGAAAAAAAAAAAAAGGTTGGAAACAAATCATAGCGAGCTTTCTTGTTCTCAAGTTTAATAATTATAGAGAAATGCTGCTTTTGAAAAAAAAAAAAAAAGGTTGGAAACAAATCATAGCGAGCTTTCTTGTTCTCAAGTTTAATAATTATAGACTTGAAAAGGGACCTAGATTCGGGGCTCAAGATTCAAGGGACTTTAGTGACTTCTAAAAGCAGCAGTCATTTACTCATATTTATATTAAATGATATGGACTTCGCAAACTTTTTGCTTTGTTTCCTAACCTTGAGTGTGGTAATTCCAATTCCCCAAGTTATGATTTTAGAAGAAATCAGTTTTAAAAATTAATTTGTAGCATCTTAAATTTTTTTCTTAGGACTTGATGTTTGTCTTTTATTTAGTGATTCCACAGCCAAGGGCTTCATGATTATAGTATCATTGTTTTCTATAAATCATTTCACTGTTTATTTCTATCTTGTTTTGTTTCTAGTTGTTGATAGTTACCTCTTGTTCTTTCTAGTAATTTTTCAGGCTAATGCAAAGGCAGCATTTGATGAGACTCTTGAAGCTCATGTACGATTGGCTGTTGATCAAAAGCGGTCTGAACTGGTGTGTGTCAAGTCAAGAAGAGAGCAAAGCTTTTTTCTATTGTTGTTTTTAACCCATGCTGAAACATATCTTGCACATGATGAATCTAATGGTTTGGCTTCACTTTACTTTTCTGGATGTGTTTTGTAAATTGTGATCCATAAGCCATAAGTTTATATCCTACTAACTGTTTATTTACTTATTTATTTTCTCTTAATGGGTTTCTTTAAGCTGTAGGTAGACCCTCAGATGAGTTAGGGCTTCAAGTGTCTGGGACCTCTGGGTTCATTACTTCATTTTGAAAAAAAAAAAAAAAATTTAGATTTACCTCTTAGTAATTTCTTTCCTCCTTTTATTGTTTTCTTAAAATAGTGCACTTGGTTGGCGAAGTCCATTAATAATTTCCAAAATGCATTACAGTATAGATTTCTCTCCTAAAGAAACCATGAAAAGTGTTCTTTCTTAGAAAGGGTAAAACAAAGAATGGATTTTTCTCTCATATCTCACTGATGATGCTTTTTTTTTTTATATATATATTTCTTCCTATTATTTAGTTTCTTAGTCTTTTCACTGTTCTTTCTATTTAAACTTGAATGCAGATTGTTCGTGGTACCATGGCACTTCCTCATGGTGCTAAAAAGGTGCTATTTGAAACTTGCACTAAATCATCAACATAAATTAAGCTTGTATTCTTGTTTCCCTATTTCATCACCATCTCATTTTTTAGGGAGTCAGGGTGGCTGTTTTTGCTGAAGGTGCTGATGCTGATGAAGCTAGAGATGCAGGAGCTGATATTGTTGGTGGAGTTGAACTTATTGAAGAAATTGCAAGTACTGAATTGATTTTTGAACTTGTTGCTTGGGTCTATTTTTCTCCTATGCTGCCATTTCTAATTAATAATTATAGATCTGTGTGTTACGGTGTAATTCTCTCTTGGTTTAGTTTCTTTGAGTTAAGAAAAGTTTTGCCTTTGAGTTACTTTTAAAAGACTTCTTTGTGAAGAAGTCGGATTAGAGCTTTTTTGCTTTAATGGCAAAAAGATTTTCCTTTCCACATGCATGTTTACACTGTAGTAGCAGTTGCATAGGAATTATCTTTCTATTAATTTGTGATAGAGGTTTGAGCTTGTGTCAAAGCAGGTGCTGGGAAGATTGAATTTGACCGATGTTTTTCAACTCCTAAAGTCATGCCCAAGCTATTTAAGGTTCCTGCTCTTTGAACAGTCTTTTAAATTGTCCAACTACTAATTTAATTGCCATTTGGTTCAATAATGTCATTCTCCCTCCTTCCATCCTGCAGATATCAAGGATTCTTAATCAGCATGGTCTGATGCCAAACCCTAAGGTAAGTTTTTCCATTTTGGCATTTTTCCTGTTAGTACACGGATAAAAAGATCTTTAGTGGAGCTTATAGTTTAATTTGTCTTATATATAGCAAGGTACTGTAACCAAGGATGTGACCAAAGCGATAAAAGAAGCCAAAGAGGGTCAAGTTAAATTTAGAATGGACAAGACATCAATTGTGCATGTTGGACTTGGAAAGGTGGCATTATCTCACTTTCAAAACATCATGCTTAGCTTTAGTAGGAAGACAGGTTTAATTGAAAAGAAAAACGAACACATATACTGATATTGACTCTGTTGAATGTTACACTTGTCATCCAGGTGAGTTTTTCAGAGGAGTCTTTGCGCGACAATATTGGTGCATTTATGAACGCACTTTTGCTAGCAAAGCCTGCTGGCTTAAAGAAGAGTAAGTGAGATATTTTCAGTCTTTTGAAGGCCACTTTGTTTGTGGGCAGATATCTTTCTTGAGTAGGCCTAATTTTGTTCCGTAGACTTGGTTTCAAGATTTAATTTATTAGCTCATTCAGAAAGCTTTTACATTGCTCCCTTTGCAGCTTCTAAATATGCGGGGTATGTGAACTCTTTCCATATATGCGGCACGGTGAGCTCATCACCTAGGTTCTATATCTCTCTGATTGAATTGTTAATTGATTTTTATGCTGCTCAAATAGTCAAGCATTTAGAATGGAGTTCAATCTATATAAAACAGTGAAATGTCCTGCATGCCTTTCTTTTCATACTACCTCTGGTCTATTTTACTTGTCACCACACTTATTTCTAAGTGATGCCTTTTTATGGTATATGAATGATAATTTGAAATTTTTTTTTCCTAATTTGTAATTCTTATTAAGTAGATTTATTTTATAAAAGAAATTTAAATTATCATTTATATATTATAAAAAGTCATCACCTAAAACTACATGTGGTTACAAGTAAAATGGACCAGATTTAGACAAATATTTTTGAAATTTATAAGATGTTTGTATTTTAAAAATTTCTGTTAGCTTTCACTTTATCCTAGATATGTATCAATTATATTGGTTTTTTTGATACCATACAACTTTCTTACACATAAATAATAGAGGTATCTGTACATTAAAGGCATTTGTGGTATAAGGTAAATTTAATTTGTAGGGGGACCTGGTTGTATGTGACTACATCAAGTGGGAATTATGGATTTACATAAGTACATGAAAAAAATAATTGCATTAGTGTATCATTACAGTGTTGTATCTTCCCATTTCAAAAAAATTTGTTGTGTCCTTGCCGTTGTTTGCTTGTGTTTATATTCAAATTTGCTCTTTATGGAATCCTCTACAATGATTATTAGGGACTAGGGAGGGATGTCTTCTTTGTATATCAACTGGACAAGAGCTTTAAGTTTAGCTTACACTTTCACAACCTTCAATAACTGTATCTCAATGGTTACATGCAGATGAGTCCAGGATTTCCTGTTTCGATACAATCATTATCAAGAGCTGCTGATCATTACAGCAAAGTGTACCTTACTGCCTGATAAATTTGCCAATCAACTCCCTGCATGGTACTTTATTTAAAGCAAGAAGATCAAGAATTGTTTCTGCATCTTATGCTTTGATTTTTTTTTTTTTCTTTTTTGGCCAGTAATAATGTTTAGATTTTGGAATACAACAAAAACAGCTGGACTTTTGGGTTAGGAGTCTTTTTTTCATTCCTTTTTTTTTTTTTTTTTTTTTGGTTGTAAAATTAGAACTGCCGTTTCCCATTTTTCCCTGAAATTCTTTCTCCAGAATGTCTTCTGTTCTTGAATCCTGAAAAGGTGAACATCAGTTAAAAATGTTGATTAGGGGTGTTCATATTTGATCTAATTTGATTAATTGGATTGACCTAACTCAAATTGACTTAATCAATTAAAAAAAATTAATATAAAATTAAATTGATTTGAATTATAAAAGTTTAAAATTGATATAATTGATTTGATTTATATTTTTACCTTTAAGCTATCTAAACCATCCAATTACAACATAAAACTTGATTATAAGATAATTTAATTAAATAACATAATATAGTTTTTGTAGTATTTTAAATTTTCTTTTTCTTGTTTCACAAAATAATAACTCTATTGACTTAATTAAAAAAATAAAATTAGAGCATTTTCATATTCTTTAATTTATTTTTTATTGTTTATGTTACACTTTGACTCTAATTTTTAATTTTTAATTTTCCTACAACTTTGTTCCTCGGGATTAAGATGCATCTTTATTTTTAGAATCTTAAATTTTTAATTTGTTTCTAAAATGATATTATAATTCTACTAGTTAAACCTTAAAGAAATATCATTATTGAAGTTTTAAAACTTCATAATAGAACTGCTCTTATTTTTTTTTTTTTGGATATTTGGTTAAAGAGGTTTAAATTTTAATTATGAATGCTTATAATTAATTCTAGTGATACTCATTTTAAATTTTATTCACTTTTAACAAGATTTAGAAAATGGGATCAAATCATTGGTAACTAATTTTAACGTTTAAGAATTACTTATATTGTATTTGAAACTTGGAGTATTTTTTTATTATCATTGGTGCCCTTAGTAATGTAGTAAAAAAGAATTTTCATATCTGTTTAATCTTTATAATTGTAAAGGACCATAAAAATTTATATATAATTTATGGCTTTTTAAAATTATATCTACTTATTTGAATGTTAATGTATTTTTTAGTTATATTTTTAACTTGATATTAAAAAAATTTAATATTATTTCATATATTTAAATGTTAAGAAGTGATGAATTTAACCGAATTATAGATTGGTTTACTTATCATATAATATAGGAAAGTAGATTAATTTAAAATTTTTATTAAATGATTAAATTAAATTGGCTTAATAAATGTTAAAATTTGAATCAAATTACGACACGGACACTCTAGTGCTGAATTTTCAATATTCTCTGTGCCTCATGGACTAAATCAGGATGCATAATATGATTGATACTTACTAAGAAGTTGGACCATCACCAACAGCACTGCTAGAACTGGACGCCATCAGCCAGCTTTCTATCCTGTTACCGCAGGATGCGAGTCAGTATTTTTTGTTTTTTTTTTTTTTTCTTCCTTTTTGAACTAAGCTAAAACATTATTGTTAGGAGAAAACCTTCTTGCATCTACAAATTTAAGAAATTTCTTATCACATAGATTAAAATTCTACATACACCGACGCAAATTTATTGCAAGCAGAGTGTTTACACCTAAAATAAACCAATGAGAAAAGGCCACGTGTCAAGGTGAAACCCAATTATCAAGAAAAGTCAGGCTGGAACTGGATTATAATTTAAGGATCTAGATGGATTTTTAAAGAAGCTGGAATTTTAGATTGCAGAAGATAAACTAACTTCTGGTATTTGAGTTTGATTTAAGTTAGGAAGTTGAGAGTTTTTAGGAGGAGGTTATCTTTAAGGTTTTATTGGAGATAAGATTGAGTAAAAACAGTCAACTGCCAGACAGCTGTCAAACATGGAACCCCCACCACTCGACCATGGTAGGAGAGGGCCGAGAAACATGGAGGAGGTTTCCCAGCACCGAAGAAAAGAAAAACAAGAGGAAGAGATCAGTTACGGACAGCTTGCCCTACACACACACTGCCTAGAGCATGTTTTTCAACTTTTAGACTATTTTTTCTAGATTTCAGCAATAGTTTCCATATTAGTTTACCAGATCTGTTCTTGTTCATAGCCTTAGGTTAGCTTTTTCCATCCTTGCTCATATCTTTCATCAAAGACTTCAATTTAAGTTAGTTTTTAAGCATTTGGAAGCAATTCAACCTGCAAAACAGGTCTGCCCTATTGATTTGGTTAGTTCCTCTTTCTTTTATGGATTCAATTATGTTATTTGTTCATGTAAATAGGTTGAATGCTTTCTACCTTTGTTCTTTTGTTTCTGCACAATAGCCAGACATGCAGTTTATTTAATTTCAAATTTTTAGACTTAATTTTATAAGTTTCTAGACTTTAATTATTTCGTAGTTTCTTCTTCAGTTTTAGTTATCAAGTAGTTTAGCTATTTTTATTTTAAATCTGCAAGTAATTAAGTTTAATTATTATGGATTGCATAGTAGAAATCATTGTCTGTGATTTTAAATTTTCTGCTGTCTGTGAATTTTATTTTTATGGCATATTGTTTCCTTTTATTGATCTCATGTTAGATTAATTGCCTTAAGATTTTGTGTTAATTTAGGATTTGTAGCTTTTATTATGCTTTTGTGGTTGTAAAGTCCTTCGAGGTTTCCAAGGCAATTAGTAACTCATTTTGCAGAACTCCACCCTCTGTTTTGCAACATCATCTAGGGCGCAATTTATTTCACAAACGTTCTTTCCAACCATTCTTTTTGGAGGTCGACCGTTGGAAAGAAGAAGGGTCATCTGGAAAATCCTATTTTCTTGTTTTTAGACAAAGCAAGTAGCACACCTAACAACCAAACTCACGTGGTAAAGGCCGGCTGAGGATTTTTGGGGAAACAATCCTTTGTTGGCACACCTGGTGGGACTACTAGCAGGATGTATCAGTTAAGGTTCACAAATCCTCTGTTCATACATTTAGAGGCGTCTGGAGCCATGCCATCGAGAAAGAGCAAAGATAAAGAGGTCTAGCCAGCCCAGGTTGAAGATGCAAATGACAGTCCAGTCTACTCGGAGGGTGGGAATGATCTAGTTGTTCCTCCCTTCTTGTCACCCTTCGTGGAGCGATCTTATGGCAATCCAATTTTCAAGGAAAGGGATGCAGACTGTAAAGATGAATTGGCGAAGTCATGTAATGTGATTAGAGACTTGACTGAATGCTTTGAGATATCATGTAGAGAATGGGCCCAAGATATTCAGAAAATTGTTGAGAGATCAGCAGAATCTTCCAGACAACATGATGAGGTGATGAGACAATATATGGTTGAACTGAGACGGATTTTTGAAAAAGGCACTAGGGTGATGCGTGAAACTGGAGATGAGAGTCACAGAACACTACAGGCTATTTCAAAACAAGTAGTTGAGCAAGTGTGACGGCCCAGACCTGAGGTCCCTCCTCCAGCTATTGAAATGCCCAAACAAATTCAGGAAGCCCCAATCCCAACACTCGGGGGGCAAGGGAATCGGCCTCATTCCAATATTCAACAACAGAATTTTTTCATTGGTGAAGGGCAAAGACAACATGAACCAATGGAGGCTGCTACTTCTGTTGCAAACCATGGCCATCAACCTCAGTACAGGTATATTTCGCCAGGTAGGATGGAAAATGTGGGTCCTCATCATCAACCCCATCCAAGGGACTTTTTCCAACCACAAGTTTCACCAGCCCAATCGGTACAGTGTGGTCTGCAAAATCAATCAACTCAACTATGCAATAGAGGTCAGTTAATAGATCTAGTACAGGAGACTTATGAACCAGCCTTGAGGCCATTGGAAAAAGTTGATAAGGGCATCCTGAAGTTTCCAAACAAGGTGAAGGAAACCATGGGAGTAGATGCAAATCCTTTTTCAGTTGTGTTTGTTGGCATGAAAGTTGCAAACTTGAGGAGTGTTGCCAGAAATTATAGTCTGCCTTATGCTCAAAGGCACCTTGCTGCTGAAGACTTGAGGTGGGTTATTGAGGCGCAAAAATCCAAACATAGCAAGAGTGTCAGGTCAGACCAGCAGAGGCTCGGGGGCCAAGGAAGGATGATTGTGACTAGGAACTTTAGCCCAGAAGGTGCCAGACGTTACTCAGTTGGTACTAGATCTCCAAGAATGCTCAAACCACCACTCATGTCACCGTTCAGACGATAAGAGAAAGTCAATCATCCAAAGTTTCTAGCCCAGAATCCCAGAACCTTGAGGCGCAAACTGCAGCGCAAAAGGGTTGAAGAGCAAAAAAGGCAACAGAAGTAGGTGGAGGCTGAGGGAAGTTCATCTCGCAGACCACACCAACCTACAAAAACGAACATGGTGTGGGTGAGAAAAGAGAAAAAGAAGGCTGTAACCTAGACTCTACTGAAGGAGGATGACCAATCTCCAGCTTCTCCAAAGGTGGCATCTGTGATTGTGAGTCTAGACGGAGTTTTGAAAGCAACTTTTTAAGCACAAGAACAGTCTGGAAATCCTGGAGGTGAATCAAAAGAAGATGGCATTATTCATTTTGGGGAATTTTCAATGAATTTGTCATGTTTGGTGCTGACATTACCCTTAGTTTTCCAAGCCAAGAAGGAGGAGGAACCAATCGTCTATGAGTTCCCAGAACAGACAGAAGAAGAGGCAATCATTGTTCCAGCCCAAGATGATGAAGAGGAGGACATGGCTGACAAAATAGTGTTTGAAAAACCAGAAGAAAAGATGGCCAATCATGTTAGGCCACTTTATATCAATGCTCACATGAATGGGACTCCAATCAATCGTGTCTTGGTGGATAATGGAGCTGCAGTCAATGTCCTTCCAACTTGCATGCTCTACAAAATAGGCAAGTCTCTTGATGATTTAGTGCATACTAAGGTTATAATTAGTGATTTTACAAAAAGGGGTGAATCGTTTAAGGGGTGTGCTATTTATTGAATTAACAGTGGGAAATAGGACACTGATGTCTGCGTTTTTTGTGATGGATACTGTTGCTACTTACAATGCACTTTTGGGGCGTCACTGGATTCATTCAAGTTGATGTGTCCCTTCTACACTTCACCAGAAGTTGATTTTCTGGAATGGTGGCAAAGTTGAGGTGGTGTTTGCAGATGATAAGCCTTTTTCAGCCAATACCCACCTAGTAAAGGCTAGATGTTATGTTATGAAGAAGACATTGGTACCATTCGATTTTTTGGGATGGATAGACATGGGAAGCCGATTGGGATAATAGCATGGAGCAGACTATCATTGTCTAAGCGTGTTATAGAGGAAGTCTGTGATGAACTTCTTCGGCCAACAACAATAATTCCTTATAGACCGAAGGGGAAATTAAAAATTGAAGAAATCTAATGAAGCAAGCACGTCTAAGACAAGAAAGAGAAAAGGTCGTGTTGGAGATAACAAAGAAATTAGTGGCCTATTTTTCTGAAAAAGCAGTTCAAGTGGACAGGTCTAAAATTGTTCATGAAGGCGAGGAGGCAGACCAGGGTGATAAAATAACTTTGGAGGAGCTGGATCTTGCCCCAGTCAAGTTGGATGATTTAAAAGCTGAAGTTCAAGACCCACTGAAGGAGATCAATCTAGGGTCTGAAAGTGAGCCAAAGGTAACATTTATCAGCGGCTCTCTTGAGCCACGTGAGCCGCAAACACGAGATCAAATTGTCAGATTTTTGCATGAATTTAAAGATTGTTTTACTTAGGATTACTAAAAATTCCAGGTCTAGATCAGAAATTGGTGGAACATAAACTGCCAATTGCAGAAGGATTCAGATCGTATGAACAGCCGCCCAGACGCATGTCTGCAGAGGTCAACTTAAAGGTGAAAGAAGAAATTGAGCGGCTGGTAAAAGTTGGATTTATTCAGACATGCATTCAGACATGCAGGTATGTAGAATGGTTGTCAAATGTAGTGCTTGTGCTGAAAAACAATGGAAAATTAAGAGTCTGTATTGATTTTCAAAACTTGAACTTAGCTATACCAAAGGATGAGTATCCCATGCCAATTGCAGACTTGCTGGTTGATGGAGTAGCCCATCACAAAATTTTATCTTTCATGGATGGCCATAGTGGGTATAACCAAATTTTTATTGCAGACGCCGACATTCCAAAGACAGCCTTTTGATGCCCAGGTGCTGTTGGAACTTTTGAGTGGGTTATGATGCCATTTGGTCTGAAGAATGCTGGAGCTACCTATCAAAGAGCCATGAATGCAATTTTTCATGATATGATTGGTAAGTTCATGGAAATCTACATTGATGATGTTGTGGTGAAGTCACATGGGGATGAAGACCACCTAGTCCATTTGAGGAAGTCTTTTGAGAGGATGAGGCAGCATGGCTTGAAAATGAACCCACTAAAGTGTGCCTTTGGAGTGTTTGCAGGTAACTTCCTTGGGTACTTGGTGCATGAGCGCGGTCTGGAGGTTGACAGGAACAAAGCCAGGGTTGTGATTGAGGCAAAACCACCACATAACAAGAAGGAGTTGCAGAGATTTCTTGGCCAAGTTAATTTACTAAGACGTTTCATTTCTAACTTAGTTGGGAAAACCAGAGTCTTTTCTCCTCTGTTGAATTTCAAGTTTGAGGCAGATTTTAAGTGGGAAGAACAACACCAGTCTACCTTTGATATGATAAAGCAGTACTTATCCAGACCACCAATACTTGTATCGCTTGTGAAAAATAAATCTTTAATTTTGTATATATCCACCGTAGACGAGTCCATAGGATGTCTGCTGGCGCAAGAAAATGATAAAAAAATAGGAGTAGGCTGTGTATTACTTGAGTCGATGTTTAACCCAGACCGAAGTGAAATATTCTTCAATCAAAAAGTTGTGTCTTGCTCTCTTTTTTGCTACAATAAAATTAAGACATTATTTGATTTATTCCGAGGTCTATGTGGTTGCTAAGACTAATATTGTCAAATATATGTTGTCTTGCCCTTTGTTAAGAGGCCGAATAGGTAAATGGATTCTGGCCTTATCTGAATTTAATTTGAAGTATACCCCACAGAAGATTGTCAAAGGGCAGGCACTGGCAGACTTTCTTGTAGATCATCCATGTTTGGAAGTGGAAGCAGATGAAAAAAAAGGGATTAACTTGTCTTCAATAAGTTTAGTTCCTTGGAAACTTATTTTTTATGGATCTAGTACAGAAACCATGTCTGGAGTTGGAGTCGAGGTTATCTCCCCGTCTGGGCTAAAAACACAGATGTCTCTCCAGCTGAATTTCAATTGTACAAATAATCAAGCAGAATATGAAGCTTTGATTATTGGTCTTGAGATGTTGGTGGAGCTTAAAGTATCCATGGTTAAGGTTATAGGGGACTCACAACTAGTCTTGAAGCAATTTGTCTAGTGAGTACAAATATACTAGCCTTGCTTTAGCCCCTTATTTTGCCTTGGCTGTGCAATTACTGGAAGAGTTTGATGATGTGTCCATCAGACACGTGCCTAGAGACCAGAACTATGAAGCTAATGAAATGGCCCAAATTGCTTCAGGTCTGCGAATTCCTGAAGGTGTAATGCAGAAAGTTGTAATAGTTGAAAAGCGCAGTTTGCCATCAATTCATCAACGTGGCATGACAGTTTCTACTTGCAGCATTGATGTCACCCAGACAGACTAACGCTTTCCAATTATTCAGTACCTTAAGGATCAGGGCACAAAGGTATCTAGGAAAACCAAAATGCAAGCTCTCAATTATGTCTTGATTAAGGATATGCTTTATAGGAGAGGCCATGATGAACTACTGCTGCGTTGTCTGGGTCCAGATGAAAGTTTCCAGATGTTTTCTGATGTCCATGATGGGATTTGTGGTGCACACCAGGCTAGGATCAAGATGCGCTGGCTGATTCACAGATATGGTTTCTTTTGGCTGTTTGTCCTAAAAGATTGTATTGCTTATGCTAAGGGCTGCAAATCTTGTCAGATCCATAGGCCACTTCAAAAAGTTCTAGCCTCTGAACTTAATTCTATTGTGAAACTGTGCCCATTTCGAGGTTGGGCTATTGATTTGATTGATAAGGTGTACCTTCCTTCATCAACAGGTCATTCATTTATTATAGTGGCAACGGATTATTTTACCAAATGGGTGGAGGCTAAACCAATGAAGAAGATATATTAATCTGATCTAATTAAGTTCATCAAAGAAGACATTATTCACAGATTTGGTCTACCAGAAACAATTACAACAGACCAAGGCACAGTTTTTGTCAACTATCAAGTGGAGGCATTTGCAAATGAAATGGGTTTCCGTCTGTTGAATTCTACTTCACATTATGCGCAAGCTAATGGACAAGCTGAGGCTTCTAACAAGGTGGTGATTAATTTGCTTGAAAAAATGGTGGATGAAAACCCTAGACGCTGGCATGAACTGTTGTCTGAAACACCATGGGCTTATAGAACTTCACAAAGGAGTTCAACCAAGATAACACCTTTTGCCTTGACATATGGCCATGATGCAGTCTTGCCAATGGAGTTAACAGCCAGGTCTTTAAGAATAGCGATTCAGCATAATCTCCAGTCTGGGGAATACGATGAGGCCATGATGCTTGAGCTTGAGGACCTTAAAGACACACGTTTGGCAGCTTTGAATAGATTGCAAGCTCAAAAGCTCAAAATTGCAAAACCTTACAACAAGAGAGTGAAATGTAAAAATCTAGCAGTTGGTGACTTAGGCCTCGTTTGGCATAGCGGTTTTGGGATAGCGGTTAGCGGTTTTACCTAAACCGCTAAATATAGGTGTTTGGTAAATTTATATATTTCGAAATCGCTACAACTAAAGTGTTTGGTAAAATTTTTATTTAGCGATTTGAGACTAGCGGATAGCGGTTAGGGTTTAAATCGCTAGCGGATTAAAAAGGTTAGTTTATGTAGCTTTTTGTACCAAATCGTTAACGGATTAAAATTTTTTAATTTTATTGACAAATTTATCCATTTTAATTTTTTAGTTTGTGGTCACATTTTTTAATTAATAATT